GTTGCACTATATGCTAACTTGGATGTAAATTAAAAAAAATAAAAATAAAAATAAAAAGATTTCACTTCACCTGAGAAGCTCTTTACTAAGGCTCCACACCACCCCAATTTGGGCAGGTCCCCCTATGTGCTCCCACCTCGGGCTGTGCATTTTAGCACTTAATGTACCATATGCTGAAACTGCCCATTCATTCAAGCTCTCCCACTTGACAGTGAGCTTCTTGAAGGTCCGAGAAATTATTCCTGTACCCCCAAGAAGCCTGTGAAATGCCTGCTATATAGTAATTACTCAGGAACTATTTAATGAGAACCAGATGAAATCTGGTGGGTGGTTCATTACCACTGACTCTCTGTAGCTTTCTCCATATAAAACACGAATACTTATTAATGCATGTACAACTTTGCTGCTGGGATACCTTAGCAACCATTTATTTAACCCACGGAAAAACTGAAACATGAAGATGAAATGGCTTACTCAGTTATCACAGAGTTAGTCTATGCCCTGATTAAGTGTGGAATCTATCCAGCAATTCCCTTTTCCACAGAATAACTGCCTATGTCCATTTCTATCATGTACACATACTGTTCTTTGATGCAGTATCTTACAGGTTTTGATTTCCAGGGAAATCTGACAAAGACGCCCTGAGTATTTACCAAAGTGACTTTATACCTGAAGAAGTAACACTGGAATTTTTTTCCTCTCCACATAAGCCATCCAAGTTCCAAACTACACTGAATGATCATCACACGCCCCAATTCCCAGGATTCTGTGTAATCATATTCTGTTGACACTCAGTCTTCCTCCCAATTTTCAACCTATCCCTGCAATCCAGTGTATGGTATACACAAATTGGTGGGAAAACCTTCAAGCACTAAATTTTGAAGCTTACGCTTTAATCATTTAGCAGGTGCAACTTGCAAAGTTTTAATGCCTCTCTCATGAACAAAATTCCTTAGCATAAAAAAACAGGATTTCCCCATTTCTTCATGGCAAGTTCTCAGAAAGAAATGGCAGAGAAAATTTCTAAATAGCCCCAAATAAAATTTTTAAACAGTCCGAAACAAACATACAGTGGAAAAGATGTTCAAGATTTAAATACTGGTACCTGTTAAGCCTTCTGAGCAATTAAGACTAGCATCTGCTAATGGCGATTTCAAAATAACTGGTTACCGGAGGCATGAGGGACAAATGGACTCAACAGGGATCAAGTCAATATACTGACTCTAAAGGGCACTGTACTGCTACCCACCAGGAGCTCTAAGATCATGACCAGATGAGAGAAATGCCTGAGTGAGCCAAGTTGAGTCTCAAGGCTGATGCCGTAAACAGGCTATTCATAAGGTAGCACTGAAAACCACGGTGAAACCAGAAAATCCCATCGAAATCACTCATGGATTGTTTATGCCTACACCACAATTAATGTACTGTGTTCAGCTCTTCTGGCCCCGGAAGAGCCCAGAACTCGGCAGCACAGGTAGCAGAGAACCAGAGAGGCAGAAAACCAAGATTTTTCAGAGGGGAGCGGGGGGTGAGGGGGAGAGGCAGGACATCACTGTAGGCACTGTCCTGCATTATTAAATCATTTTTGGATTTGACTCCATCACCTCTCCATTTCTACCCTATTTTCTAGGCTGTGCCAGTTTTTTGAAGTGACCATAATAGCCAATTCAGGCACATTCTACCTACAAACCTGTCATTTATTATGGAGATACTGACATCCAAAGTTTTGCTTTCTTTCTGAAATGACATAGACACATTTAGTATTTCCCAAATGGAAGGATATATTTATGCGTGCACAGACAGGAGTATGTGTTTAATATGGTTTGGTGGTACCCTATGTAATTAATGTGTTGAAATCTTTAACTGGGAATATGGAGAACCATTTTCCAATAGCCATGCTTCTGCCTTTTAAGGGCACATAAAACATTATTTGCAAGGCATATATGCTTTGCATGATAAATAACTCCCCCCGCCCCGACAGTGCTAAGTTTTGTTATATTTAGAAATTTAAGACCAGGAGCAAACATCTGTCAGACTAATTTTTTGCTTTTTCATAAGTGCAACTTTTTAATAAAAATTTACATCTAGATAAACAATCTTCAGATTTTTGAAACTTTAATAAGATTTTAAAAACATCAGGACTTAGAACTGAAAAACACACACGTTTAGCACACAAATATTGTAATACGAATCAACTCCAACTCCATTTGAAAACATGTGAATCAAATTACAGTTATAGAAGTTAGTTAATTCACATTTAAGCAAGTTAGCGCCTTGCTGAATTCAGCCTTTGTAAAAAAAGAGACTTAGTGCATATTGTAATGGCACAATGTGCTTTTGTACCATTTTGATTTTTTTTCCACCTTATTGAACAAGATCAAGTTCTTGAATGTTGGTAGAGAACAGCTAACTTCCTATGACATGTGAAACTTCCAGTGGTAACAGTTACATTTTGTAACAACACTTTCTATAGATTTCTTTTCCTATCTTAAAATTTTAAAAGCAATCATTTGTAAGGATTGCATCAACATCAATTTAGCAGAGGAAGATCAAACTTTATTGAAACTGCTTGCATACAAAATATATTGCACTATAACCAAACAAATGTCAACATAAAATCCAATCTGTTGTCGCTAATATGTACAGAGAATATTGCCCAAGAGCAGTTACATTACAAGGTCATTCTACCTTGGTTAATTATCTACAGTATTTTAAACCAAACAGCTTACAGATGATGTGTGCAAGGTACCAATTTCTGTTTTCAAATACTATACATTCCCAGAATAAATAACTAAAAATCAACATTAATGTTTGGCAATACTTTTAAAAGACTTTTTAATATTCTTGAACTCATGTGCAGTTTGTTGCCATTTTATATGCTTATTTGTATGCAAGGAAAAGTAACTATAAAATGAAAATTCAAAGAAACAAACTCACAAAAGACATCAGAGGCAGAACTTCGGTTTGCACGGCTCTGTACAGATTCAGTGGTACCCCTACTTGGAGTTATTTTTTAAGAAAAATATAACATCTTAAGAGTGAAGGTCCTTCACGTATTTTTCCTCAGTAAATTTCATTCATAAAAATGACTCAAAAACAACCAAAACCCAACACATCAAAAAACAAAAGAAAAAAAAAAAAACGAAAGTATTTGTTAACCAATTCTAGTCGGCTTTCCAAATCCTCTTATACATTAGACCTAATATCTCAAAGTTTACAAACATTTAACCTGCTTCCAATGTTTCTTAGACAAAGTACCTGTACTTCACAGGATTATTATGCACACATGAAAATGACCTTCCTATCTCCCCCAAATAAGCTTGAAATTAAAATATGAAAAACTTCACAAAACTTGGGGAAGACAAAATAAAAAAGGCTAAGGTAAAATTGGTCATCAGGCCAAAGAGCAGGCATATCCTACTACCTTTAGACCAGGAAGATTTGTTCCTAGCTGAAAACATTTTAGCCTCTCAAATGAAAAGATAGTTATTTCTTCTCCTGTCTATACAGAAAAATTACACATCCCTCTCAATAACACTATTTGTCAAACTTCAGTGCAACAAAACAAAAACAGAAACAAGTTCTATTCTTTATACTGCCTAACCTGATGTTTCTGTAAGGAAAAAAATATGGAAAGCATGCATTCTTCTATAAAGTACTAATGTTTGACAGGGTTTGCTACATCTTTAACATTTAGTGTTTCCAACTTATCTTCCCTGAACTCTGCATCCAAATATAATATTCCTACCTGCCAAGATATAAAAAAGGCACAGATCATACAACTTTTTTTTTTTTTTTTTTTTTTTTGCTAATGAAAATGACAAACGTCACATCACACACATCTCAGGGTCCACTAAAATACTGGAAAAGTGGACCAAACATAAACTGACACAGGACATGAAATGACATAGTATTTCATGGACTTCTATAGGAGATTGAAAACGGAAGTGATTACCAACAAAGCTATTTATTCTGAAAAACTGAAATGTACTGGCGAGTTCTCACCCAATGCAGGAAAATGGTCCAAATTAACAAAAAAATATCACTGCTCAATACTTTAAAAAATAAACCAAACTAAAATCCTGCCCTGAAGTGCTGAAGTATACTTAAAAGCAACGTTTCAAAATTTCAAGGTATCTTTTTGTGCAAATCTGGAAATTGTTGCTTATGGCCAATACCAAAAAAAAAAAAAAATAAGATTCTTAACAGAATTTGTGTTCATTTCATGCCCTGTGCCATCTTGCCTACTATTTGTCTTTGGCCTAACAAAGTTTTCTAATATGGAATAAGAGTTATGGAAATGGTATAGGAAATGTAACTTCAGAATGATGCAGTTTAGGGTACTCCATTCACAAGCGGTTGCTGACCATCCACGTTGTCTGGCTTTTCCTTCTTCTGGTTACGGTCTTTACCCGTGCGCAGCCGATTACCTTCACTGGAGGTATTCTGTAATGTTTTAGTGTGGACACTCCTTTCATTATTGCAGTCAACTCTGATCTAAAACAAGTTATAGTTGTTATATACACAAACCATATCCTATTGTAATCTGTAATTGGCCTGACAAGAAATTTAAGCCTGAAGTGTAAGTTCCATGTGTTAAAAGGGGAAATGTGGGTGAGAACAGAAGTGCAAGAAATTAAGGTCAGGTAGGAGCTTTATTTAGTTTATGATTTTAAAACACTCTTCTTCTTTAACTGGAACACACTGGTCATCTCACTGCATCCAAAGTTAGACAAAAACTCACAATCCTACCGTGTCTTCTTCTAAGCAGAAGAAAACAGTGAGAAAGAAATAATTAAAATGAATTACTATTACCAATTACGAGAATACATACTTATAATACCAGAGTTCAAAAGAATGGGTTTGTGGAACCCAAGAGGGACACAAATTGATGCCTTCCTATTTCACCTTTACCAAGGACAGAACTCGACAAAGGTGGTAACTAGCCTTGGTTTACACCTTAATTATCTACCATGGGTCTGACCAACTTTCTCTACTGAGGCTCCCACTGTCTTACAGTAGAAAAATCTGTGTTGGGGGGCGCCTGGGTGGCGCAGTCGGTTAAGCGTCTGACTTCAGCCAGGTCACGATCTCACGGTCCGTGAGTTCGAGCCCCGCGTCGGGCTCTGGGCTGATGGCTCAGAGCCTGGAGCCTGTTTCCGATTCTGTGTCTCCCTCTCTCTCTGCCCCTCCCCCGTTCATGCTCTGTCTCTCTCTGTCCCAAAAATAAATAAACGTTGAAAAAAAAAAAAAAAGAAAAATCTGTGTTGGTTTCTTATAGCTTGTTCAGTAAGGCAGGGCAGATGATCGTACAATTTGAACTCTGTCTGAAGAATAGTAACGGTACAGGGAAATCTGATAACACTAACGCGTGGAAGGACTGGACTCCAACATGCGTGTAAAGAGGAAGGTAATTTAGAAATGATATTCTAAGATTTATATAACAGTTTAAGTAGCAACACGGAACACTTAAAACACTGCTAACAGAATTCCAGATGCTGTATAAAAAGAAGATAATATTGACCAATGGGCTTAAAATACTAGAAATATCGATCTGTTTCAAGTGCAAATGCTACATATGTCAGAATGGCTTGCCGTAATTTCAAAGTGCATTTAACTGTTGGTTACGGTGTGTATTTTTTTAATGTTTATTTATGACAAAGAGAGCGCGTGCACGTGAGCGAGCGAGCACACGCGCACACTCGAGCATTGGGGAGGGGCAGAGAGAGGAAGACAGAGCATCCCAAGCAGGCTCTGTGCTGACAGCAGAGAGCCCAACTCCGGGCTCGAACCCACAAACCGTGAGATCATGACCCGAGCCGAAGTCAGACGCTTAACCGACTGAGCCACCCAGGCGTCCCTCAGTGTATATTTTGAAGTGTTTGGTTGTCAAGGGTTTACTTTGATTTGGATCTATTCCCCTACACAAAAATGCAACCTTTTTATTTGATGCTCTGTTTGACTCTGAAGTATAATTATGAATATGCACCCTTTTTAACTAGTATGATCAGATTGCCAACTTCATCCAACATGTCACTTTAAGTGGGTAATGACACGACTGGCACATAAATGCCTTACATCTTTGTAAAGCCCATGTATGTACACTATTCCAGCAACCTCTTTATCTAGGCCTAAGGTCTTTTCTACGCTGCTCCTTAAGTACTTGCCAATAGTTAACACCTACTTAGGTCTTATTCTGTCATGAAGTTTCTGCTGTTAAAAAGCATCTCACTAATTTTGGGTGTTGGTCCCAAACCAATCCGTAGTTAATAAGGAATCGTAACTACTTGGATTAACAATTAAGAGTTAAAGTGGGCATCTGAGTGGCTCAGTCAGTTGAGCATCCGACTCTCAGTTTCGGCTCAGGTCATGATCCCACGGTTCATTGAGTTCGTGCCTGACGTCAGGTTCTGTGCTGACAGTGCAGAGCCTGCTTGGGGTTTTCTCTCTCCCTCTCTCTCTGCCCTTACCCTGCTGGGTGCTGTCTCAGTCTCTCTCAAAATAAATAAACAAACTTAAAAAAAAAAAAAAGATGAATTAGGAGTTAAAGAAGTAGAGGAGAATATGGGTTCTGGAAATCAGACACCAGGGTTCAAGTATCACTCCACTGTACGCTAACTATGGGACCTCTTGGCAAAGGACTGAATCTTTCTAAGCTTCAAGTTTACTCGCCTATAGAATAGACAAATGAAACTACCTCAGGGGGCTGCTGTAAGATTAAAGGAGATAACATGCACACAAAGCACTCAGGAACGGTGCCAGACAAGCTCGGGTAATTTTAAAAATTTAACAATGGGTTCAGTGTAGGTGATGACCCACTGAGGTGGGATTCTCAGGATAGAGGCTGGCTATGAACAAGCAGCTGACAGATTCAGCATGTACTAGCTGAACATGATCAGCCCTGTCTGTCACGATTATTACCTAGGAGACAGACACCTTCTTTTCCTCACTTTCTAGAGAGGACCCCCTAGCCCTGCACCTCAGGGGAGGAGGGATCCACAGGGCTTGCTCAGGTTTCTCTCTCATTACATTCCAGGATGTTCCTTTGCTCAGGGGAATTGGGAGGAACCACCAATGTGGTAATGTGGTCCTAATGAGCTCTCAAAGTCTTCACAAATGCTTAAGACTGCATATTCTCTAGAGAAATCTTCTCTGAACACTTGTCACAAAGATCTAAGATTGCCCACAGTTGTGATGTTGAAAGGAAAATACTTCACGTGTACCAGTATTGCAACTTTTGAACATGTTTAAAAATCAAGCAAAACCAACTTCTATATGTCAAACTGCAGCAATCCAAATAATTTAGAGGTAAAGAGACGCACAGCTTTACCTGGAGGGATCCATCTCCTGTTCTTCCTTTAGCCTCTCTTGGATTACGCGGGCGATTATCAGTTCGGGAGTGATCGTCGTTTCCTATAGGGTCATTTTCAAAAGGATCAACAGTTACTGACTTTGGCATGCTTATTGGAAGTTCTTTATCCCTATGTTCTCAACTTATTCAGACCCCGGAATCGAAAATATATAATCAACAACCTAGTGATTCCAGCCACACAATGGTTAGAAATCTAGCATGCTACCCAGGAGACGATATTTCAAAGGCATTACAATTCTGCATCCACTGTGTCAACCTGTGCTAACGATCAGATGTTATGTGTAGAATCCCCAAAGAAGCTGAACTAGTTACCAGTGTTTGTTCATATATTTATTCCACACAAGCCATAGGAAGGCTGTCTAATGTTCTGTCGATCACTGCTGAGCCTTTCGTCAGGTGACCAGTACAAAACAGGAGAAATGGGGTTTCAGTAACATGTCCTTGAATCAGCAAGATTTCTCACAGAACTTCAGACAGTTGTGACAATTCACCTTTATTTATTAAGAAATGAAAACTGAGGAGTCTGGGTGGCTCCATCAGTTGAGCGTCTGACTTGGTTTCAGCTCAGGTCATGATCTTGTAGTTCGTGGGTTGAGCTCCTCATCAGGCTCTATGCTGACAGCGTGGAGCCTGCTTGGGATCCTTTCTCCCTCTTTCTCTCTGCCCCACCCTGGCCACGTCTCCCTCTCAAAATAAATAAATGAAAAAAAATTACAAGACAGGAAATGGAAACCTCTGTACCTTTGAAGCCACCTCCGCGTCCTCTTCCTCCCTGTCCTCTTCCTCCACCACCACGCCGTCGACCGTCTCCTCTGCGCAGAAAGTTCTCCCTCTCTTCCTCTGTTGGAGCTAATGACCAATCACTGAGTTCATCTCTGTGGTCAGATTCTGTTTCAGAAGCATTTGATGCTTCAGAATTAGTTCCTATCGAGAGTTAAAAGTTATATACCGTTGTCCGACTTAAAAAAAAAGTTAGGTTAACAGAAGCTTCCAGAGACGTTTCAGGGGTAATCCAATACTCTTCCCAAATTTATAAGCCCAAAGAGTATTATCACCTTCCATTTTGTAAAACAAATTATCTTAAATTCAAAATGAAGGGTTTCACAATGTTTGACGTAATTTTGTTTTTAAACATTTTTGGTTCTCGTTAAGAAGAGTAAAAGGTATTTTATTAACCATCTAAGTTCAAACCTGAGTATGCCACATCATTAAACAGCTGTGCTCCTTTAAACATCTGCGCTCTCTGGAGGAAAAGTTGTCTACAACAGTTAAATGCAATACCTTGATAAACAAAACCTCTATAAAGAGAGTTCCTTTTAACAAGGTTTGGCCCAGGGACAGAAGGGAATGCATACATTTTGCTCACCTCTGAGAGGGTGGCAAAGACCACCATGGCAACTGTCTCAGGGAAGGGTCTTTTGTGGAATCAGGGATTGAACTTAGCTCAAGGGGGATGTGCTCACCTGGTCCACAACCTTCCCTCCCACTCCCACTGGAATAATTTATCATTAATAAAGGCATTATTAAGATAAACTCATTATGCATGAGGGGTGGGTTAATGATATAGGGGATGGGAGTGGGGGAAAAGAGCTCCACGGTGAGGTGGGACTCCAACAGCAAAAAGAACACACTGTTGGGAGAGGGGTTAGGGGTTAGGTTCAAGGTTGGCCTTAGGAGTAGGTGTCTCTCTCCCCCACTCCAGAATATCAACTCTACTACCTCTCTCTCTTCCTCTGTTGGAGCTAATGACCAAATATAGCTTCACCATTATAGCTTCTTTCCTGTGGATCTTGAAGGCTTTTCCATCTTAAAGAGTTCCTTTTTGAAATGCAAATATTTGTGAGATGGATTATACCTTATACCATTATTAGCAAGTTACATAGTAGATACACAGTTGAGCAAGAAAGACAGTAGGCACTGGCAGGTGGGGACAGTGTTGTTCAGTGAAAGGTACTGGGAGAGAAGAAAGAAGCACTGACAGAAGAGCTGGGAAGGCAAAGAGAAACTTTGCCTGCTTCTTGACTGTGCCTAGGGCTGACTTTGGCCATGACACTCAAAATCACCTTATGAGCCATAGGATGCAGAGCCCTGATTTACACAGTCCATCCAGCAAGTATGACCAGCACATGCCTGACAAAAAATGAGCCACAGTACACAAATGAAAAAAATTTTGGCTATACAGTAATAAAATCAGGAAAGGCCTTAAGAAAGTCATCAACACACAAGGGCTTAAAGCAGATTTATCCCCGGTCAGAACGTGGACAGAACTCACACCTGCCCTGTAAACTGTGTGTGGTATCATCCATCAGTTTTTAAGTCTAGGTCTCTTGCAACACAATTTGACCCACTGTGAATTGGAAACCATGTAGTGAGAAACCGTTATAATGGGGTTCTAATGAATATTAGAGATTAGCAGCTATTAAGTCTAGGAACAGATAAAGTTACTGAGTAAAATGCTTAGTTTGTACCTGAAGTATATCCAGGACCGCGTCTGCCGTGCCCCCTATTTCTGTAAGGTCTACTACCTCGACCCATTCCTTGACCATCATCAGTCACATAGCCTTTTTCCTTATCTGTACGATTTGGTGGTGGTCTAGAACTAGCTCCAATCTGTCGCAACTGCTCATCAATTTGTAATCTCTCCAAACGCAACTGGTCTACTTCCTATTTAAAATATACAAGATAACAGTAAAAATAATTTGACATTTTACTTAATAATACCTTTCTCCTTTTCATCAGATAAAAAAAATATACTGGAAATATTTCAATTTCAGCTCTAAATTTATAGTAAACACTGTTACACAGAATTATCAGGAAATTGAATGGTCTCCTTACAAAGAAAAATTACTATAGATAACAGATTATTGATGACCATGATTAGAGATACAACAAAAATACTCAGCATTAAAATTCTACTGAATAGAATTTGACGATGTTTGATTTGGCGCTATAATCCAATAGAATCTCTTAAGGCACAGATACGCTAGTTTGGGGACTTCTTGATGACAGGATATCGAATAAAGCAACTCTAAAATACAGGCAAATGACAGTTAAGGCTTACCCAGCTAACCTTAAAAATCACACACTGTAAATAATCTTAATTGAAATATATTTGCCAGTTAATATCTTAATTTATGAAGCACTGAGTTTGAGCTATCGTCTGCTTTCAAAGAAAATATCCTATGGTACATCTTTGGATGCAATTGTACAATTAAGGAAAAGTTATTTCCAATGAACTGAAAAATGCTCACATGCCTTATATGGTGGGCGGGGGGACGGCTATTTAAGAGCTGACCAAACAAGTTAGGTCTTAACATCATGCCTTGAAACCTCTTAAAGACTGCAGCTCTGCTAGAACGAGTACAATGAACAGTATTGATGTTGATCAAAATATACACCCGGGGTCCACTGACAGACCATTACACACAGTGCTTCGGATATGCTGGGTTCTGTCATATCCAGATAAAGTCCCAATTCTAACCCTTGTCCTTCAATCTACCCATACACATCTCCTTTACTGGCTTTAGGGAACTGGATCCATAACTCTAGTGGTACCGGGTGTCTGAGTAAAGCACAGGCCATCACAGGGACTGTCTATGTGGACAGTCACTGGATAAGCCCCTGTGTTAAGCTAAGTTCTTAATCTTGCTTGTGGAAGCTTCTGGAAAGGAAAGGGCAGATAGTTTGATCTGTGCTCTGAACCAGAATTTCTGTTTTACGAGGGACCTGAGCAAAGGAGAGACTGCGTGAGTGGCTTACTCCAAGAGTATAGTTATAGCTCATGGAATGGGTGGGTGTATCTTGCAAAACAGAATGGTGGTCCAGGCTATCCCACTGGGGCAAAGCAGTCACCTTTTGGTGAGAGATGCCAGGCCCAATCAAGGGAAGATCTGGTGATGGAAAGAATGGCAACAGGACAGCTGCTGATAACCAAAGATATTCAATTGTGAAGAGTAAGTAAAAAGATCTAAAAAAGAACATTAGTCAAAAGAACAAGGGATTGGTTACAATGCAACCCTAACTCTCCAGGTCATTGGAATTCTGTAAGCTAAGAATATGAAGAAACACATACAACAGATTACAAATAAAACACACTTTAAAACAAAAACAAAGAAGCAAACCAACGGGGTACCCTACCCATGCAAACCTTGCTGGATGAAACCTTCCCACTTTCAATTAGTAACTGACCACCAGAAGGAGGAATGCAATGCCTAGCTATTGCACTTTTTCCTTCCTTATTTGCATCCAAGTCAAAACTGTTTCTTTCAAGAAATCAGCAAAAATGTTAAGATAGCATCATAAATAAAATAGGAAGTTAGATTATTTGTAAAATACTATTTAGTACCAGTCACTTGTAATTTTGATGTATATGGATATAAAGAAGAAATTAGAACAGTGACATGGGTAAGACTCCATTTCATGGAACTATAGAACATTCAGGCCAAAAGAAATTTTAAAAACCATCAGGTATAGGGAGAAGTGACTTGCCTAAAGTCACATAAGCTAGTTCATGGCAGAAGACAGACTAGAAGCAAATCACTACACTGCCAATTAAAGTGCTCTTTCCACTATACCTTGTGGCCTCCTACTTCCTGATTTCCAGTTGGCAATCTAGGAGGCATAACTGTACAAATACTAACTACAACGAGCATCTACAAGACACAAATTGTTTACATTCTGTATAACGGAGCATAGAGAAAAATACAAGGGGTAAACGTTTAAACATAGGACTTCATAAAACACTGGGATTTCCTTGATAAATGACATAAAAGGGACAAACAAAGCCAAGTGTTACAGACACAAAATTTGGCCTGGAAAAAAGTCACAAAGGCTAGAAAGGATCAACTGAATGAAAAGGCTATGTACAGGAGTATCTAAATTGAATGTAAGGGTTAAACAGAAGAATAATGGGAAATAAGGGAATTCATTGAGAACTGGGATACCGGTCCTTAGATTTATGATGACAGAAAACTGACTTTTGTTTTCAGAAAGAATATAATATAATAAGCAAAACAAAGCGAGTATTTTCTCTATTACCTTTTACAGGTCATTCATCGTAATGTACAGGCTAGAATGAACCTTCACTGATGAAAGATAGACTGTGGAGTTTTTATATGTTAGCACGAAAGGATCACAAGTTAAAATTCTTCTTGTTCTCACCTTTAAATAGTTCAGGTGATAATCCAGAAGAACAGTGGCATTAGCAATGCTGTCCTTTGTTCCCACAAAAACAAATGGTACCATACCCTGAAAAATAAATGGCAACAATGATCCTATAGTATTAATAATGGATTAATCTGAAAAAATGCAAATAATGACTAAATTCCTAGCACAGGGCCTGACAAACAGTAGGCACGCAAATGTTTGTTGAAAATATAAAGCAACATCTAGAAACAAAAGTAGTTGGTACATTTTACACATCTACTGTAATGATAAATCAATATGGCAACCTCTTGAGTGCAACAGATTATTGTGTTTTAAAGACTATTAAATGTTGGCAAAATCACAAATTATGTAATTCCAAAGTATACAAGCTCTGACAGAAGATGCATAAACAAAACAAATACTTTAAAATAAAATAAAATAAAATAATTAATATACTACAGGTTTTATCTATATCAAATTCTTTAAAGAGAAATTCTAAGTTAAATACTAGGGCACAGAAGTAAAAACTAAATCAACTTTGCTAACCAAGTCAAGAGTACAAACAAAACACAAACAAAAAGAATTAGAATAAATTAAAAGGAACTAATTATTCTGTGCGGGATGGGGAGGGGCAGAGGCAGATTGATGAGCACAAAATTTAGCATTTCAATACATTTTAATACTGTACTCTAAAAATAGTAAAAGGTAGAATCATATGGAAAATATGATCTTTTCTCAATGGTACTACTTTCATATAGAGATGTTTTTAAAAAGGAGTATATTAAAATTTTATACTTCTAGCCCATCAGTACAAATGAGAAAAAAATTTTTTCTAGTCACAAGTTATAGGTGTCGTGCAAACTAATACCTGGCAATTATGACATTCAAAGTTTGATGATACTTCATTTTATTACTGAAGAAATACATATGATTGCTGATATTCACACATGACTATAGTAAACCATACGGTGGCTTTGACGAGGATATAATTTTCTAGGCAAAGTTTCTAAGTATGAAAAGCCAAGACGCTGTCTCTTTAGTAAGTATCACTCTTTGAAAAAGAGCATTCATTTGATAGGTGTGACTGCTTTTGCTTGCCTGCTCAGTAGACAGCATCTTAAATGTATGTGAGGCTGGAACAGGTTTTTTTCTTTTCCCTTCCACATGAACCTGGCTGTTGACGGGGAACAAAACTGAACAATTAGGAAATACTGCTTGTAGAATGACCTTCATTTGGTAGGCAAGGCACCGCTTCCTAGTAGCAATGATCACCTAAGAGTCAGGTGCCACAGAAGACCCATGGGCTTCATATGGGTTTTTGTTTGCATTGAGTAACACATAGACTACTGAAATAATCAGGACTATGAATCAGATCTCCTTTCCTCAAAAACACCTTTGACTGTTTTTTTCCCCAACTGATGTCGTTACAGAAGCAGTTAAATCTTATTATTTTCCAAAATGTCATATAATGAAATGCTACACTCTTCCCTCTGGATCATGTATGACCAAAATAAACCTTAAAACCTTATGTCACAGATTTAGTCTGATCAACTTTGCAGCAAATAATTTTATAACGTTTTCCCTTTTCCCCATGTCCAAACTGTTGTACCCGAGTGCCACTCTAATTTGAGCACATCACTAGTGGACCAGAATAGTAAATTAAAACAAAGATGGGCAAGAGCACAATGGTGGCCTTCAATATAGACACCCGGAGAAAGGGACTCCCTGACTGGCGTAAGAACTGGGCTCCCCAGCAGAGAGGAATATCCGATCCACTTGTGGTTATATGTCCCTTTATAAAATGGCATTTTTGCTTTTAATCTCTGGTAAGTCATAACATTTGCCCCATAAACAGGTCTCTCTGGCCACTTAGGGAGCCCTATCCTCCAGGAACTCATGATGTGGCCAAAGAGATCCACCAGTCAATGTCTATGTAGTATGCACTGCGAGAGGGATGAGCACACTGGAACACAGAAGGGGGCAAGGCTCTGGAGGGAGGGGACCTGTGGCAAGTACACAAAAGAAAGCTGCACAAGGAAAAAGGTCAAAGCAAGGTGGCGAGTTGGAAGGGGAAAGAGCGCTCTGGCAGAGGAAACAAGTGCATAGAGAGAGAGAACAGTGTTCAGAGAACTCTACTTCAGTATGGCCCAAGCCGCTCTGGAGGGCAAAAGGGAGGAACGATCAGAGGTGACAGTGGACAGGTGGGCGTCAAAGCAAGGCCTTACAAGCAACAGGAAGGAATTTGAGCTCTCACCCCAGGGCAATGGATGAACATACCCCCAAACACTCTTCCACCATCCCCCAACCCTGATGATCATTTGTAGTCTCTCTTAACAAGGGGCATAAACATTGAAATATAAAATTAAAATGTATTTTTCAAGGAATGTTTTCCTACCTGCCAAGCCTTGAGTTCAGGTTTCTGGGATTCCCCTGCTACAATTGATGAAACCACTAACACCTAAAGCAGTATAAGGAATGCAAGTGATGTCATTAACTATAACAAATGATACACAGAAGCCTGAACGCAGGACTTTCACTGTAGGACTTCTAAACCCATTTCTAAACAGTTAGGTTAGTTCAAATATTGAAAACCAGTTTCTAAAATATGGCTCTAAGTAGTAACTAATGCATCTAACAGAAGGTACATTTTGAGCTACCACAACCTGTAAAATCTCAAGAGATACAGCATGAAAAAATGAAAGACCACCCTCAAAAGAAAAATGTGATCACTAAATGTAACCCCATATTTTATGTTTATAGCATCACATTTGTCACTGTGAATAAACTGAGAAGTAGGTAACACTTTGGTTTGTAATCTCTCATATAAGCTGGCAATCGGATTTCAAAAACAAAACAAAAAACAAAAAACAGAAAACAAAAAAAAACAGGCGTAGCCTTATAAGCCTAACCAGAGAAAACACCTAAAACACCAATTGTGACATCTGGGTCAAAGAAATTACTTTGAGTATAATTCAAAGTGATAATTATTTCTTACCCTCTGGACTTTTGTACTGTTAGGTTGAGAAAAATGAGTGCTGTTTTCCTTTATGTCTATATGTTTTTTTTCTTCTGAGGGAGTAGGTCCAACCCTTGAGTTACTGGAAGGTAGGGAATTTGGTGGCATAATTTCCTTGGTAAAAAACACAAAAGGAAAAAATGACCAATTTAAAAGACTGTATTTAGCTCCATTTTTGTATCAATGACCATGTTTTACAAATATAAATTATCATAAACATTTTTGGTAGAAAAAATTACAGAATGCAAGTATTATGCAGTAAAACGCCCAAAAGATTTAGCATCAGCTAAAAGAACCTTTCACAAAAGAAGATTCGACAATATGTGAAAATTATGGCAATCTGGGGGGATTTCAAACAGTACTGTTGTACAGAAGAGTATGTCCTTGCCTCCCCCAACCCACACAAGTACTTTTACCAAAAAGCATATATTCATGAAGATAAAAGTGAAGATTATAACATTTAAAGACTGGGAAGAGATGCTACACCCAGATAAAAATTTAAAGCACACAAAATAAACACACATACACACAAACTCAAAAAGCCAAAGGATGAAAGCCAGAAAACCTAATCAGTGACCCAGCTTGGTCTCTGTCGGCAACATTAAGTAATATTTGAAAAGTGCCTCATATTCTTTTTTTTTTCATATTTTATGACCATCCATTTTAAAGATTAAGAAGATTTCAAGGGATTCAAGTAACTAGTCCCAAGTCACTGTCCAACTATGACAATGACTGGCATGGTTAATTGTCAGAATTCTTACATTCCCAGTATGTGCATATTACAGAGGCCTCAAATTTACATGTTGAATAAAACATTACGAAACTTTTATCAGACAGCACTCCTAGGTGGCTCAGTTGGTTAAACATCCTGCTTTTGGCTCAGGTCATAGTCTTATGGTTTGTGAGATCGAGTCCCCGAGTCGATCTCCGTACTGACAGCGAGAAGCCTGCTTGGGATTCTCTCTCTCACTCTCACTCTCTCTCTACCCCTCCCCTGCTCATTCTCTCTCTCTCTCTCTCTCAAAGTAAATGCACTTAAAAAGAAACCTTTTATCAGACAGACTAGAAACACATGCACTACAACATACCTCTTCTTGGGGAACACTTTTCTCATTTTCAGCCTCAATTCTCACCCTCACGACTCCTGACTTGTCCACAATTTCCTGAATCAGTTTTCCATTTTTTCCTATTACTTTGCCTAAATGAAGAAGTGAATAATTCATGTTTGGTTTTACAATCGATCTCAAACCAGTAAGCACTCTCCACTGTAAACTATCACATTATATATAAAACTGTAAGATTTCAGGGCGCCTGGGTGGCTCAGTCAGTTGAACATCCAACTCTGGATTTCGGTTCAGGTCACGATCTCCCGGCTCGTGGGTCCAAGCCCCATGTCGGCTCTCTCTAAATAAATAAACTTTAAAAAGTGTAAGATTTCAAAACCGAACCAAAACAGAAACTCTTTTCAAAAAGAGTTCAACTGGTTTGTTTCATTAACTTGTCACTGTTTAAACTATTTTGGTAAAGTGTCAGAGGTATTTACATCTCATGAACTGATGGGGTAATTTTGAATCTTTAAGGAAGTTCAAAGATAGGGTCTTATTTTGCATAAAAGGGTATACTTGAAACTTGCTACAGTGGCATGTATCACTGTGCAAAATTCTGTGAAAGGAATTAAGGGGAAGGACACATACTAGAAAATACATTTGCTTATTCATTCAACAATTTCAGTTCTATCTGTACCTGATTTAAATCTGCTTTTCTGCCCATGGTAAATATTTTTAGAATTTCATATGGCACATTTATAAAAGATACTCCAAGTCTCAAAGTGATTTAAGCAGCTATACAAACACCTAAAAGAAGTGCACATTCTTGAGGCCAATGTGTTAACATATTACTTCTGTGCATCGCTCATAGATTTTATCAGTATATTAAAAGGTGAGGTACAATTTCTTAATCTTTTATTAGTCACAGAATGAAAGATTAGGAAGTCACACTTTAAGATAACTCAAAATCACAATGAGAAAACTTAAACCAGTTTGAGATTAACTATTGTTCAATAGCATCTGTTAAAACTCCAAAGACGTCAAATATCAGTAATTAACAGGCACTCTTCCCCTCATTTGTAAAACTGAATCAATCATAGCCTTAACCGGGAAATGACTGCTTTCATAGCCATCAGCATGCATTAGTGTAAAGCAAGACACTACAAATGAAAGAAGTACTGGTTTTAGAATTTGACATGTGAATTACCTGGGATTCTAAGAGCCAGCGCCCTCCCAAGGCACCTAAGGCACCCCTACACTGGCCAGGTCCATCATGTGCTTGCTCTACCACCTTAGCAAAGGCAGGAATAGGGGAAAATCTGGAAGCCCAAATTTGCTTGGAGTTAATCCTAGATATCAGAACCTAGGGAAAAGGCCTCACAATAGGATCTTGTGGTTCATCTAATCAGCATAACCTTGGCCCTCTAGCCATATCTTACAGCCTCACTCACCCTCATAACCTCTTTTGACTGGTCAGTGGTCAGGGAACAAAACTGACACTAAATCAGGATTCCTGACATAGGTAGGTCCTTTCATCAATTATTTCTGCTTCTCTTCTCTTCAAATGAAAGAGGTGGGTGGGGGGGAGAGAGAAGTTGTATGGAGTCATCCCACAGTTCATTTTTAATCTAGAAAATTTGGATTTTCGTGAATGAATGCTGATTTTAATAAATATCTAAACGAGTTAGGAAAGAAAAATGAGTTTGTCACATGTTGCTATTAATATCTTAACCATCCTGAGTATTGTGTGTTAACTATAGCTAACAAAATAATTAAACGAATTCACTGTCAAAGTGGGGTGAAAAACAAGCAAATTTTCAGAAAAGAATTGACAATCTGTGTACATAGTAGAGTTTGTGAAAAATAGAGATCATAAATCATATACAGTGTGACTCCAAGAAAACTCATTCAATACTAATTAGACATCTCCCTAAAGATCTGCCTTGCCAAATCTTTTACAAAAATGCTTTCTGAAAACTCTCAACATTCCCAGTATTGTAGTAGACAATCTCTAAAACAGAACTGTCTTATTGTACTCACTAGAAACTAAACAAAACCCAGGCTGATCATACTTCAGCAGGCTTTCTTTCTGTTGAAAGGTCAGTTCTGGGACCCTCTTCTCTTTACGTAAGACCATAGGTAGAACCTACTTTTAATAGCAGATAATGCAATTCTGCATCACACAGTTATTTCCAAATACCAACTGACAGCTTACTACAATTCTGCTCTACTGAACTGGATGGAATTGTTTTCAATGAGAGGTAATATTTACAGAGTTCCCTACTACATGCAGACCTTATAAGGTAATGTATATCTATCTCTAGCTTTCTTCCTACAACTTCCTGTTTAGTTATCAAAGCAACCCTGTGAGGTGGACACTATTATGACATTTTTAGAGGTAAGGAAAATAAGAGTCAAGGGGGCTGAATTAGTTATAAGGTTAAATAGGTACCAAAAAGTGAAGGAGGGACCGAAATCTAAATTCAACACCCGAGAACTTTCCCCTACAGGCATCATGCCATTCCCCAAATGAACTTCAATGAATCTGACACAGAAGTTTTTGTTTGGTAATTATTGAAAAAGCAGTCTATTGGCTATATTTTATAACAATTCCTAAATTTAAGAGAACTTTTCTAATTACAAAACGTATGCAATTGCTTGAAAAATTGTAAACAAAAGGAAAAGAAGTATCATTAAAAACCCTATTTATTCTTAGGAAATCAGGACAGTGCTATCCATAAAACTGGTGTCCAAGTTATCTCGATAACATCACATTCTTTAGCTGTCTGTCCAACACAGTTGAATTAATAATTCTGCATTAATTTTACCAGTCTTTATCCTTTAACAAATTTCCTCCAGGAGAATATTATTCCCAGTGTTTTTAATGGCATAGGAAGATGTTTATAATTCTATGCTGACAAAAAATAAAAGCAGGCTAAGCAGGACTGAAACTATGAGAACAAAATGCATAGGAAATCCTTATTTTCTTCTTTTTTAAACTTTCCAAAGACCTGGCATTACTTTTTGTAATCGGTTGTGATATCAAGTTCAGAAAATAAAAAATGTATAGGCAGTATGTCCCAATTTTATGTATAAATTAAAAACGTAGGTAGTGCTCTTGATAAAAACTGCACCTTATTTTGATTATGTTCTGCTAAAGACATCTGCAGCATTTGAGAGCACTGGTGAAGAGTTTCTGGTATTTGCTGGTACTTGTGATGGTGATAGTAATGAAACAATAGCACTCAAACTCAAAATGGAGAATTACTGTTAATGTTGCAAAAAGCCCCGGAAACCTTCGGAGTTACTTTTAGCTTTGCAACTTACTAGATTTAAGTAACCTACATTCATATCTTCAACTCAGAGATAATTAAGAATGCCATCATTTCATAGCCCATCAGAGATCAAATACCAATCTCCTCCAAATTGTAAAGTCCTCAAATATCATTTGTTTTAAGGAAATATATTTAATTTTAAGATACAGAAGATACACACCGAAGAGGCTGTGCAAAATTTATCCTTCCAGGCACTAGTAGGTTTGAACTAGCAAAGCAGTATCTTTTATACACCTTCTCAGTTTTGAGCATATTTATCAAATATTTTCTGTACACTGTAACAACAGATCATACTTCAAAGATACAGCTTCAATTAAATGACTCTCCAAGTGGGTGAACATGGAATTCTATCGGTATAACTAAATCGTTTAACTGTTGCTTTTGTAGTGTATGTCAACATAATTTCTGACTCACCAACTAAGTTCCTTGGAACCTGTATTACATCTTCAGCAAATTCCAGAAAGCTTCTAGCCTTTTTCACTGCATCCTGATCCTAACAGCAAAGGGGAACAGATTTAAGACAAAAGATGAGCCACATGAAATATTGTTTATTTTAGAAAAAAGCTACTTAGTAAAATTTTACCTCTCCATAAATGTGAAATGTGCAGGTATCTTCATCTAAATCGATAGCAGTGACCCCGGGTACCTTTCTAGCTTGCTGAATATTAGCACCATGAGTACCAATAGCCAGACCCATCAAATCTTCTCGTACGATAAACTGCTCATGAAACCTCGAGGCAAGTTGCCTTGAACTCTGAAGAGAAATGCACATTTGATTAATATGCTTTATCAACTATTAAGACAACTGTATTTAGGTCAGCCATGTAAATTATCTTGACTCTACGTATCAGGGGCCTTATAAATTACTTTCAGTTGTAAACTTTCAAGGTTTGAGAACCACCCCGCCCTCCCCGCAACAGCATAAATACTTTTTGGGTTACTGAAGGTCAATGCCATCTGAGAGATTTTTGTTAATAGCAAAGGGCTTGTTGACAAGTTTCCAAGCTAACTTTTGAAAACCTTTTGCAGGGCTGCCTTAGTTAACCAATGACATCAACCATGTTATACTTAAGAAGCAGATCAAATGTTCCCAAATAAAAACCAGCTCACTGGATCTGACAGACTCAATGTTATTTAAGTAAAAAAAGATGTTTTAACATCTTTTCAGAAAATTGTATTCACTTCATTTTTATTGAAGGATATCAGTACATATACATATTTTTTTGTTCTTTTTTTCCCTGGAAACTGCACCATTTCTGTAACTTATCATTAAATACTGTGGTCTAGATATCCCTCTGATGAAGCGATGACATTAAAACAATACTCTCCTACCCCCACCCCCCCAACCTGAGGAAAAGAATCATAAAAAATTGTATCAAATGATTGTAGAATGTCAAAGATTTACAACTTATCTTGCAATATGCACGTGCAACCTAAAAAGAGATCAGAGTCTGTAAGACCTTGTGATCTGGATCCACAAGTATGATGAATTCTTTCAAATCTTCAGTCATGACTGAACTTAGTTACACGGAGACCCCAAACTTGTGGATAATTGCTCTCTTTAAACAGCATTATCAAAATTTAATGTTTAGTTCTAGCATGCCATTAATGAAAACCAAACATATTAGTGGCTCATGTTGAAAAATGGAAATTTCGTATCTGAATATGTGGATCTCTTTAATATTAGTAGTGAGGAAAGATAGGCATGCACACGAATTTCTCAGGATTCAACGTACCTGCTAACTTGAATGTATGAGTGTTAACTACTGTAAACAATTTTAAAAGTATAATATCCATTTTGTAGATTAAAGTAACAAAATGTATCAAATATTCCTAGGGCTTTTCAAGAAGTCTTGTTTCTGAGTCCTGGTTCATTCACCTGGTTCATTCTTTTCACTAATTTTCTGATAAATGGTAAGCCAAAGGTATCGTAACAGATCATTTAAGAAGAATTAGATGTTTAAGAAGAGGCAGGAGTATGTTTTCCATAATACTCACAATGAAAATAAGGAGGCTTTTCTTGCCTAAAAGTTATGAGAGAATTGCTAAAGAAACCACAAATGGGTGAACACAGGGACATTAATAAAGAATGAGAGTAAAAACCAATTAAACAGACCTCCATGGCCGTAAGGACAACAAAGTAGCAAGAGGAGACAGGAATGTCTCCTCTCCTGTAAGAGTTCAGCAATCACACATCAAGTGGGAAGGTGGCAAGTTTCACAGGCTATTTACAAGAATACAGCCTTAACTACCTTCTCTCTTAAAATGCAATTTGGAACTCTTTTTCTTTATTGTTTTAACTGCATGGTGTTTTCCATCTAATGAAATGAATAATGATGAGCAACTCTAGAATCTGACAATACCTCGAATTGGGACATTAAAATCCATTTAGTTTCTATGGTAACGAATGGAAATACTAGATAGTTATCAATGAAAATAAATGTATGGTGATGGAAATTACTGGAGGATTAATAAAAGTAGATAAAATGCACCTGAAGAGACGCAATAGTAAGTTAGGGAAATAGCCTCTGGCAGGAATCTGAAGACAGGAGTTTTAAAGAGTGACAACCAATTAGAATGAAGAAGTTCTATACCCTTTTAAACAGAGATAAACATACATAATGAAAGGAATATGATTAGATATTTAAATACTCTCTAGTACTTATATGATAACATGTTATATGGAAGAAGCATTGCCTCATTTTATTAGCAGCTTTGATGAACTTCTAGACAAAGTGAGTTGACCAGAAGTTCCTTAATATACATCAACGGCTACTTAACTCTGAAGCCTCAGGCATGAAAAACTTTAGTATGATTAGGCTTTATAGAATTTAATTTTTCCAAATATAAAATATAGGGAATTGCTAAGAAACAGTAAATAAAGGACAACCTGCCCATATTCAAGTTTTATGACTCCACAGTTATCATTTCTAGATAGCCTTACAAGCAGCGCTAGGGAAAGCCACATACCTCTAGCTGCTTACTGGCTTCTTCATTCCTCAGTATCAGAGACAGCTTAGTGCGCAGACTCCGAAAGTGCATGTCAATTAGCATGTGTGCTCGTTTTGAGGTGACTTCATTGATAGACTAACGGATATAAATCAATACCATTATTATCAAAGCAAATACTCCAAATGAAATATACCAAAATAGCCAAGTCAAAAACACTCACCAAAATGACAAGCTGATAATTCTCTGGATCGTAAGTTACAGAAAAGGCACCAACTGCCTTTTTAAAGTCCTTATGTGCCGATTCTTTGGCACACCTAGAAATAAAAATATCCACTGTGAAGCTAAGATGTAGGATTAGCAACTAATGGCATAAGTACGAGCAGAGATTTGCACCTAGTACAACTGTGAAATCATGGTAAACATAATTCATGCAAAATATGCTATATCCATTTAGAAGTTTAGTCCCTTTGTCGTACATCTCTGAAATACTTAGTCCACTCCAATAATTGAAATTAAAGAGAAAGGTTCCTTTGCTGTACATCTCTGTAATACTCAGCGCAATCAAGCATTTGAGATTAGAGAAAGGAAAACACCAGTTATGCTCTTAAGAGATTAATTGTGGTCTTAGATTACCAAAGGTGACATTATTTAGGGGAGGTACGCTCCTCTGCCAAGCTTTCTTATTTCAGTTATGTAGGATTAGTCAGTAATTTTCTTGAGTTAACTGTTGAAAACTTTTGAGGATAGCTGCAGGGTACCCAATTTTGTTTGGTTGCTTCTTTTCTGTAAGAAAAACTGCTGACCAACTTACAGGCGAGAAGGAAATGTATATGAATCGGAAAGCACAAAAATTTACACACAAACACAAGCCATTTTTTCCCCAAGTTCACTGAATTTAAAACTTGAATTCTATTATTTTAAACTTTATATTCCTTTAAATTAATTGCATATCACCTGTTAAGTCCTCAGCATTTCTTGCATACCAACTTACATTTGTCGTAAGTCTTCTGGCACGTCCAGTTTGATTTTATGAAAAGTATCTTTTGTGGCAGGTTTGTTGGGATTAACTGATCGTAGACGTTCGATTGTGACAATTTCATTGTATGTGGCATCACATGCTGCATATTCTATTACATAAAACTGAGAGAAATAGATAAAGTCATGCTTGGTCATAATGTTTGAAGTAAGAACAATAGGCTATACCTAATTCAGTTATCTTTAAGCTCTCTAGAGGGAAAAAATTGATCAACTAACACACATGAAACATACTGAACATGTGGAGAAAACATTTTAATGAAATGACAAGTTACATATTACTTTAAAATAGAAATCCACACTGAAATAGAATACGAGTTGAGAAAAGGAAAATAGTATAAAAAATTTTAAATATGCATTTTCCTACCTCACCCTTTATCATCCTCACTTTAGCTAACCACCAACAGCAAGGCTCTTTTTCATTTGCTCTGGAATAAACCTACACAAAAATTACAACATAGATTATTTCATAATTAACATCATTCAGAAATCTACAGATTATCAGACAATGAAAAAAATTATTAAAATGAGCCAGGTGTCTTTCAAACCCGTATGTTTTATGCCTCAAAGTAGACTGCAACCTTACATCTAGACATAGATACATAATCAGAAACTACTTGATTAACTGGGAAAGCCCTGTACAAAGCGCCTTCCTATTTTCTTTGTTCTATGGCAGTAATCATCAGTTCTCTGCATATGAATACTCAAGAAAAGCTGGCTGTTCATAAACCTGGGCATGCTTTCCTTGGATACTTTGTGAGCTACAAAAACGTATCTAAAAATGTACAAACTTGTTTTTCTTTTAGTCTAATAAGTACCTAAGTGATTGGAAGTTATTGGCCCTGGCCTGCTGCCGGCTGCACGGTCACTAAATGAGTGAGGCCTCTGACCACTCAGCCCGCTAAGGATACCACCCTGGCAGTCATGTCTCCTGAGGCCTAAGCAAACAGAACCTGGGTCACTCTCTGGTCTCCTGTCCCCTCCCTCTCCCTCAACTCCAAAAATTGGACAACTCCATGCTGGCAATCCTCTGGATACCATTTTCCTGCTCTCACATACCAGATAGCTCTTCTAACCCATCTCTCTAGTGATCTCAAAGTTCACTTACAATGTGCAGCATGAAAGCTTTGGTGATGACACTAGCAAATCAAGGTTAACAGGAAAAGAGACAGCACAGTATACATGAAAAGAGAGAAAGACAAATACTCAGAGGCAGAAGGAACAAACAGGGAGGATGAGGGGGATAGGAAGGAGAGGACAGGTGAGGAGAGGTATAGAGCCTAAGGCTAATGAGTAACTCAAGGCTCCAACTTGTGTCCCTTTTGCAACTGAATTTAACAGTGACACAATGCAGTGACAAGTTAACTCAACCTACCTTTCTCTTTTGCCCCCATCACTTCTTCACAGTTCTGCTCTAGCCAGAGGAATAACCTCAGTTAATTGTTATATAATGCAGTGAGGTCATCCTGAGAACAGTACCTCATTGGTCCCCACGAGCCATGTGACTAAGTTGGGGGGAAAGTTCCCTTAATCCATCACTATTTCAAGCATTCCTTATATACACACACCAAAAGACCCAGTGGTCTTGTGTCCTTTTTACAACCTAAGTTAATGGTTATACAATATAGTCAGGTATGTATCACTGTTGGGCAACACGATGAGGCTACAGTATCTCATTGGTCACCACCTGTCATGTGACTCAGTTGGAAAAAAAAAAAGTCTCCTTTGTCCCTCTAAACTTTATTAGAGCACTTCTGACACAGAGAGACCAAATGTCCTAGCCTTCAGGAAGCTTGTAATCTCCTGGGGAAGTGGACAGCTAAAGGTCCTCAGGTACGGATGGTGTTAGTGTTTCCTACTAGGACACCTCACAAAACCAAGCTCAGCTCCTTAAACCTGGTAGGTACTGAGTACATTTTTGGCAAATAAATAGTACTTGATTGTATTTCCACTTTAGAAGGAGAAAAGAACACGGGCCTAGACATCCAGAGACCTTCCCTGAATATTCTGTAAATTAAAATTACTGCCCCATATCACCTTCCATCCTCTTAATTTTTTTCTCTAGAACTTAATCTGCCATAATTATTAGCTACTCTGACTAGAATGCAACCTCAAAGGCAGGAGACTCTTCAGTTTTCGTGTACCACCTGTACCTGGCACAGGAAATAAGAATTCAAGGACCTAGTACACTTTACCTTACCTGTATATAAATGTCTATTTAGCCGCTGCCTTCACACCACAAATATTCATGAAGTTGCAAGTATTAACAAGGCATTGTAGAGAACGAAGAGAAGCAGCTTAAAACGGTGTGAGAGGGAGGAAGGAAACAACACAGACTAACTACAACATAAAGCAGACTCCAAGTGCTGTAAGTCCCAAAAGCATTTTCAGTGGCTAGAGAAATTATAAACACAATGTTTTTGTTAACGTGGTGTATCTCCAGAGCACATTTTAGTCAAAGACATGAATGGCACATGAACACGTGGTTCACAGCATGCTCAGTGAAAAGATTTTTTCCCTATATGTGTTTATACTAAAACTCATAGATAGGCTTTTAATAATACACTGGGAGGATTCGCTGCTACTTAAAGAAATTCTAGAATGCTGCTCTACTACAAGGCATGACTTTTTTTCCTCTGTAATACTAATTTTCCTAATCCATTTTGCTTAAAATGGAGACAAAGTTGTCAGCTAACAATGTATTATTTTAATAAAGATTCAGAGATTGAAGGAAGGGGCAAAAGAAGTACTAGCAGGCAAAGGAAATTAGTGGTGACTTCTAAAGATGCGCCCCAAATGCTGCTCAAGCAGCCAGTTAAGCATCACATAGTGTTTCAACTTGGCTGTCAAAAGCACATGTCCATTGCAGCTGTAATTTTCAAGGTAGTTTTAAACAGTGTTAAAGAGAAGGGGTGCAAAAGGCTCCGGCAAATTAAATGCTCCCACTCCTCAAAGGCAGGGGAAACTTACCTCAACTTCGTCACTTTCATTTATATCTTTATTATAACCTACGGGTGGTGGGAATCTCACATCATGGAATGGAATCTGCCTCTCTGGCTGCCAGCTGCAAATAAGCAAACACATAATTATTTTACACGCTTTCTGGTTTAATGGAAACAATGACCACCACACTGCCATCAACTCTTGGCCAAACGTGAACCTCTGTTTTTCTAGTGTAAAGAAGCAAATGCTTTTAAAATAGTCAGTATTCTGCTGAGTAGGGCCTAATGGCAACGTAGAGACATTTCAACAAAGTCTGCATGCAGCACAGCAGCCTCGTAGTTCTACTTGGAATACTCCTCTAAACACAACAGATCAACATTACAATTTTCCAAACAAGTCTTTCTTCCAGTAATTTCAACCTCTAAGAGTGCTAAATGCAAGGCCACAACAGCAATTTCTTTTGATGCTTAAATTAAATGTTAGTATATGTGTTAGTAACATCATCACCATACTTCTACTTGCAAAGGAATTTTAACCACATTCTAAGGACCACAGGAACTGGTCCTAAATGCCCTCTAATTCCCAAGCAAAATGGGGCAGTCAGCACATTAGCAATTCACAACTCACTTTTCCCCCTTTAAATTTTAGATCCCACGAGGTGGTCAATTCTTGCCATGGATAGCTGGCTGCTGATCAGCATGGCCTGGTAAGGTCTGCTAAACCACAGAAACCCGATGAAGACAGCCTACAGGAGTTTGGTAAGTTGCCTATGTCTTTAAATTTAAGATGATATGGAACAATTTTGAAAAACACCAGGTTATTCTTTTATATCCAAAATGATATAAAATATTAAAAGACAAACTTTGCAGAAACACTGGAGGGATTCAACTGCTGCAGTCATTTCTGTTTTTTTTGTTGTTGTTGTTGTTAAACTTTCTTAGTAAAATCCTACTGAGAAAAGTGCTAATTTAAAAAAAAAAAAAAGAAGAGCCATATAGAAGATAGGAGGGTAGGTAATTAAGTTAGAATTTATGGAAATCTGATTAGGTCTATATTAGACTGAACCCTTTCTCTGAATTATACACATTTGAAAATTATGACACTTTAGAAAACGCTGTCTTTACTTCAGAAAAGCCTTTTTATATATACTGAAAATTAATGACTTTTAACATGTCACAAATTCATTGCTAAGTATGTTTTCAAAAACATATAATACAAAATATAGTTTTCTTGGTTCCAAAGAAGGAAGAATTATCTTAAATCCTAAATGTACCGAGATAAAAATTCAAATTCTTTATCCAAAAACGTGAAATATGGAAAGTAAAAACATAACATCTAAAATAAGCTGGTATTATGGCAATACGACTTTCTTTATGATTGAAAGGAAAGAAAGAGTAGATATAGTCTGAAGTTCTATAAAACATTAGTTTTTCTTAAACAGAAAAACAAAAAGGAAACACCCAAGGATGGGCAGAGACTACTTTGGTAGGGACCTATCAAACCCTAGTGATGTGCTCAAACCCAGGGGTGAATCTCAAACATATTCCACGAACACAAAGAATACAGCTGATTTATTTCAAATCCCCAGAATGATAGTTTGAAGAAAAACTTTTATGCAGCTATATAGTATAGAAGAAAATAAGGAGGTCCAAATGTAGAGTAATTTTAGATTTATAATAGAAATCTGATTAAAAACAAAAGAGAAGTGATCTAATAAGACAGTGCATTAACCAGACACATTCTTGAATGCAGAGAGGAAACGAGTGTTTGCTTAACACTTAGATTAAAGACTACAGGAGAAATTAAAAGAGTGGCAAATAAAGATAACTCTTCCTTTATGGGAAACAGTGTTTGTCTAGTGATGGGAGCAAGCAGATAAGAGTATAATTACAAAAAAATTACTCTCATGTTATCAAAGATTCTTCTGTTAAAAGTGTGATGCTGCTGTCTAGTGTATAACCATGCAAATCCATGGATACTTGGAGCAGCAGAGGCAAATTCTGGAGCTTTTGGCTCTATGCCTTCAGAAAAAGTTACTCTGTTATTCAAATTTATATTCTGGACTGAGGTTAGTGTCTAGAGCTGAGAATAGGGTTCAATATTCTAAATCCTTTTATCCCTGTCCCCCTAAATGTGTTGCAGGCATCTGAGACTACTATTACTTTGTCCTGTTGGTAGCTCAAAGAATCTGCTAATGATAAAATTGCAGTATGTCTGGGTCAGATACTACATTTTAACAGATTTACCGATATAACTCACATACCAAATTATCCATCCACTTAAGTGTATGTACAATTCAATGGTTTTCAGTATATTCACGTGTGTGCAACCATTACCAGTCAATATTACAATATTTTCTTCACGTCAAAAGGTAATCCCATGCCCTTTAGTTAGGACTCCCCATCCCCTCCAGCCCTAAGCAACCACTCATCTTTTTCTCTATGGATCTACAAACTGCTTTTGACATGCTATCAACTCTCTTTGGCACACAGAAGCCAAAATGTTGTAATTGTGGACCATTCTTCAGAGTTCAACATAATCTTAAAATCATGACCACATCTACACTCTGGCTACAGAGTTCATATGTACTTTAGAATCTTGAATGGCTACTTTGAAAATACCCTTTATTAGTATTAAAAAAAACTCAGTCAAGAGACTTGTCTCTTCCTATAAAATGCCAACATCTATACCACAGGTACCTTCGTATAGCTAATGTTCCTAGGCCCCTAAGTATTTCTGTTTACTCTTCTAGCAGAAAAGATTGGTCACTGATATTATTGATTATAAATACATGATGAAACAGATATAAGTTCATGAGTAAACATGATTATTCCTCATAACATATACTAGACAATTAGACCATCGATTTTACATTTAACATTATAAAACCCTCATCAATTTTACCAATACCCATGAATCCATTTTCATGTTGTAACAATCACAAATATTTCTATCCAAACTCAAAGTTACTAATACAGAAGAATCTGGTTTCTTTCCTTACATTCAAGGGGACTGGGATGTAGGGATCAAGGTTAAACAAAAGGGATCTTTGAGGTTAACAGCAGGAACAGTCATTCCATTGGTTTTAATATTGAGTTGTTCAGGATCTCCCTGGTGAGTAACATGAAGATCCATTCCTGAAAAACACTCAAACTAGACTCAAATTTTTTAAAATGAGGAGCAAAAAGAATAATTAGTATGAAATATTAAGGAACCTGAACCTTAAAATAAGACACTTACTTGTTTTCAAATGCAACTGTTATTGAATCCTCATGAACATCCTTTACAAAAGCCTGTAAGAAAGACACCAGTTACATTAACTTGTAAGCTTAAAGATCATTTGGTTTTAGTTAAATTTTATAGAGATACCAAACATTTTCTGTTTAAGAATAAAATGGAGCTTCAAATGAAAGCTTCGGTTTGTGAGGATGACTCATTCATGGATCACATCTATTAGCTGGCCACCTACTATGTGCTAGGTCCTAGGAATATGGATTAGTTAAAACAAAACATGAAAACAAAACTGCTTGTTCCAGAGGTCAGCATCTAAGGAGTGAAGTAATTGGAAATTACGATGCAGGTATTGAGTATGTACCTCGAGGTGCACTTTAGGCTAAAATTATTGAAAACTAAGAAATTTGATCCAGCACCACATGCCAGCCAGTATAGATCTCTTGTAACCTATCTTCTTCTCTTTAATACAATTTTAGGAGACTACAATAGTAAATGACTAAGTATAATCTCAAATCTAGGTATATACAAGCACACTAAATTTTCCTGAACGGCAATATGCTGCTAATGCCACTAAAAAGTCCAATTACCAGAGTTTAATTAAATTCTCAATCTCATAGGCACTTGGAGGAAAAACAGTAATATAAAGTAGAGGTTTAAATCTTTTAAATCTGATGACGCAATTGCTAGTAATCTGCAGAAAGACATAACAAAAGTAATAGCTAACTAATTATCAAGAATTCTTTAATCAGCATGCCTGTTCTTTAATTCTATAAAATGACATAACTAAAGTAACAGTTAACTAATTATCAAGAATTCTTTAAGCAGCATGCTGTCCGTAATTCTATAAAATTGAGTTTTTAATAGGTGCAGGAAAGGTTTTTGTTTTTGTTTTGACAATTAGAGGAGTAGGATAAAGCATAAAGAAACCCACAGGGGCTTTATATCTTAATTCATTTTATAATGGCTTGAGAGATTTAAGCTTCTTACTCAAATTTGTTCTGTACACGTTTCTCTCCTTCCATGCTTTCTCCCTGCCTGTAGGATTATGGCCAAACTCCTTTTTTGGCTGTAAAAGGCCCTGCGTGACCTGGCCCCACCCCTCACCTCTCCAAGCTTCATCTTTCACATCCCTGGAGGCTGCGGATCCAGCAGTGCGAAACTACTTGGGCTTCTCAGTAAATGCTCTTCCTTCTTACCCACTGTCCTTCCCCTCTTTTCATCTAGCTACCTGTATTAGCCTCTTAGGTCTTGGTTCAGGTGCCACCGCTTATGCGCAAACCCAGACTAGGTTACATTCCGTCCTTGCATTCTTACAGCATATCCTATGCTCACCCCTACTATAAACTCACCCCACTATATTACTATTGCTCGTCTCCCCACTAACGGTAAGCTTCCTAAGGTCTTACTTTATTTACTCTCAGACTTCAGAGGACCTACTAAGAACTCAATGAAATGGATCATTACTCAAGGTGTTCCTATCCTACCCATAGAGAAAAGATTGTGTGTGTGTGTGTGTGTGTGTGTGTGTGTGTGTTGTGTTCATCAGGGAAGACAAAGTAAAGGTGAGTTTTCTTATCAAACTTGGAAGACTGAGGAAGACTCCGCAACACAAAAGGGAGCGGAAGATGGAAGAAGCATGCCAGGCCTAAGGGAAAATAGGAACGAAGACTCTGGGCTGGAGAAACAGCGTGGGGTGTGATAGAAAGAAATCCTCTGTGAACATGGAAGCAAACACAACTTAATAGGGAAAAAGAATAGCGTTTTCAACAAATGCTGCCAGGACAACTGGATATCCATGTGCAGAAGAGTAAGTTTTTGACTCTCAGACCACATACAAAAAACTAAAAATGTATGAGACCAAAATGTAAGACCTAAAACTATAAACAAACAAGTGATCCAAGGCAGATGTCTTGGTAAAAGTCTTCCAAGGCTTGAAGCTAAAGGCTTAATCAAAAACTTACACTTCTCCAGATACAAAATTAAAATGTATCAGTCAAGTATCAATTAGTTGCTCTTAAGAAAAACAATGGCAGGTGAAGCAGGGCCCTAAAAAACTTTTATATGGCAGCTACATAAACAGAGACACCAGTCTTCTGCAATTATGTTGAAAATAAAAGCAAAGCTATGCTAAAAAAAAGTTCCCTTATAAGATCAAGAGGGACTATAAAATGGAATCCAAGTGTTCTGCTATACCCAACATGGCTAAGTTATTATTTCTAAATTCAGCATGCACATATATTTCTATAGATGCTGATTTAAAGGTGGGGAGGAATCCATATTTTCTTCCCATCATGTTTCCTCAGCTATATTTAAATCATGAGCACTTTCTACAGCATCTTTTGAAAACTCTAGTTTAATACTAACCACGATGTTTTAGTTTAGAATGGGAATAGCAGACCCCACCCCCCTCCTGCTTTCTCTTTACCTGATAGTCAATACAATCCACTTTTGAGGGGAGGGAATCCATCAAAGACTAAAATCAAGATTACTATTATGAGGTGATCCCTTATTCACCAAGAAGGGGCATGATTTGTTTTCATTTACAAAAAATGTTTTTTTTAATTTGTGACAGAATGCGCAAGCGAGCACGAGCACACATGAGCTGGGGGAGAGGGGCAAAGGGACAGTAAGAGATTCTTAAACAGGCTCGATGCTCCATGCGGAGCCCGATATGATCATAAGCTGAGCCGAAAGTAGGAGTAGGATGCTCCAGGCACCTGGGTGGCTCAGTCCGTTAAGCCTATGACTACTGATTGGTCATGATCCTGTGGTTCGTGGGATCAAGCCCCGATTCCGGCTCTGCGCAGACAGCACGGGGCCTGCTTGGGATTCCTCTTTCCCTCTCTCTGCTCCTCTCCTGCTCACTCATTCTCTCAAATAAATAAACTTAAAAAAAGAAAAAAAGACTCAGACATTCAACCGACTGAGCCACCCAGGTGTCCTGCTTCTGTTTTCATTCTTGTCTCAAGTTTTATGTTTGCATGTCGCCGCAGCAATTAACATTAGTTCCTTACTGTATACTATGCAGAAAATGTTAAGTCCTTTAGTCAGTCAAGAGAACCTTGTTACAGCTGAATGAAAAACTGTTCTCACTTAATTAGGCATCTTTCCAATACCATTGCTCTATTCTAAAACTATGCTGTCTACCATAGCAGCCACAGGCCATATGTGACTATTTATATTTAAATTAATTACAATTAAATAAAATAAAAAATCAGTCTCCCAGTCATACTTCCCACATTTCAAATGCTCAATTGCCACACGTGCCTTAGTGTCTGTTGTAGTGAGCGGCACAGGTAGAGATCAGTTCCGACATCGCAGAAAATTCCACTGGATGGCACTGATTTAAAAGCATTTTACAAATGTTGGGGACTGTTTTCAAATCCACCTTACTGACTCTAAAGGTCAGCCTCATTGCTTTATTGCTGTTATTTTTATTTTTCTCTTTGCCAAAAAGTTATTGCACAGTTTAATCATACTCATTCACCACATGTGCCTAGTTCCTAAAAATCAAACGTTCCCTCAAAGCAGGAAGATCTGCAACTGTTGTGACTATTAACAACCAAAGGCTTTCAAAGGCTTTGAAAGCAATTCTGGATGTAGAGTGTCAGAAATGATTTGAATAATCATCACAGCCTACTAGCCCTTGGCTTTCTAGTTAATGAGGCTTATTTGTATGTGGATGTTTGTAGGACTATTCCAAAATCAGTCATTTTTAGTCATTGTTTGCATATTAAGTAAATACAGAAGGCACAGAATACCTTCTTGTTGCTGCTGTAACAAGCTGAATAGAAGAAACTATTGGTTGCATCTGGCCTGCTCTCACACCCAGGAGAAACATCTCCTTGACTTCTGAGGCCTTTTACTAACCTGTTCACGTCCAACCAGGGTCCCATCCTCCTGCGGCTCAACATTCTCCAGTAACCGTTCTTTTGGCCACCCTTCCCTTACCCCAACACTCATACACCCTCGTTCCATGGACACGACCAGAGCATTACCACCCTACCCACCACCAACCTGGAAAACTAGTAATCCCCACCTATCTACACCAAACAAAGTTGGTATCAGGGGAGAAGATAGGTTCAGGGGGATCCCTGAGGTTACAAAGACGACAGATGGAAGGGGTTTGAATAGAATGCACAAAGGGAGCTGCACTGTACTGAGAGCCAGGGCTCTTATGGGACTCAGGAAACTTAGTGGTTAAGAGTTTTGCCGTGAAGGGGGCGCGCCTGGGTGGCTCAGTGGGTTGAGCATCCGACTTCGGCTCAGGTCATGATCTCCCAGTCACAGCTCATGAGTTTGAGCCCCGCATCGGGCTCTGTGCTGACAGCTTGGAGCCTGGAGCCTGGAGCCTGCTTCGGATTCTGTGTCTCCCTCTCTCTCTCT